ATACTAGCCCAAATAAAGTGGGTGTTATTGTCTTAACAGCAAGATATGCATCATCTGCCCCCACCCGAATGATGAATGTTGTGTTTTATTTCTACTTGCACTGTTTTCATGTTTATTGTTTTATTGTCTTGTACCCCCCTTTCCCTATAAATTGTAAGCCGCCCTGAGTCCCCTCAGGGAAAAGGGCGGCCTATAAATAATAAACTCAAACTCAAACCTCATTGGGGAATGTGATTTATGACAAAGACTGAGGGGAGGAGGGAAGGAACAGGGGTAAAGTTCAGCTATAATTCAAATGAGGCTCAGAACTGACTGCAATAAGATCTTGCCGAATGGTGCTTCTAATAAATGACTAGTTTTCTTTTGAAACTTGACTTGAGACTCATGAACCAATTAGGGCATCTTTCGGAAACCTGACATTAATTACAGTACCCCTTCATGATCTCCTAAGTAGCAGAGTTTTACTTAGAAGGAAGAGATCAATGTGGTGACCAGCAAAGGTTGATATTCAGTCTTGTAATCATCCTTGACCCACCCCTGGGTCATTACTGCAGAGTTATTAGGAAGATGATCAGGGATAGGATGTTTTGCCTATTGCAGTTCTCGTACTTAGCAACAAATTTTGTCTTGCTTTGTGTTGCCATTGCATATGTTATTTTATTGAATGCAAGTTGGGTGGGTCATAGTTGAGATAATATGTGTGCCACGTCCTGATGTCGTGTTTTTGCTATAAATTTTAATTGCCAAGAATGAGAGTTAGATGAGCAGTCATGATAGTCTTTTAAGTTCCCTAGTAGTAGATAAATGTATGTATAGAGACACCAAAAAGATTGTAGATTATTCTAATTTATTTTTCTTCCCCCCCCCTTGCAAGCATTTGATACGCAGAAGAAGGAAAACAACCAAGAGCCAAAATTAGTGTCATTGCTAATAATAAAAACTAAAATTCCTGAGGAGACATCTATAAATAAGTGGGGAAGGAGGAAACATGAAAAGAAGAACAATCGGAGAGAAAAATCAATTCGTGAATGTGTAAAAATGGATTGTTTCCTGACCCAACGTGATTCCAAAGAAAATACAGGGAAATGTCAAAGTAGAAAAAGATTCAAAGCAAAGCCCAATGTCAGTAACCGCTGCAAAACTGGAAAAAGCTCCAGCATTAATAATGTTACCTCACATAAAATGAACCAAGTAAGGGAGAAACCCCACAAGAGTGTGCACTGTCGAAAAAGCATTGAGAGAAGAGTTAACTTAACTTCTCGTAAAAAAAATTATAAATGTGCGGATTGTGGGAAAAGGTTCAATAGGAAGTATTCCCTTACATCCCATAAAAGGGTACATACAGGAGAAAAACCCTTTAAATGCATAGAATGTGGGAAGAGCTTCAGTAGTAGTAATTACCTGATGTGCCATAAAAGGATCCATTCAGGAGAAAAACCTTATAAATGCTTAGATTGTGGGAAAAGATTCAGTATGTCGAATTCCCTTTCTTCCCATAAAAGAATACATACTGCAGAAAAACCCTTTAAATGCATAGAATGTGGGAAGAGCTTCAAAAGTAGCATGTACCTGAAGTGCCATAAAAGGATCCATTCAAGGGAAAAACCTTATAAATGTGTGGATTGTGGGAAAAGATTCAGTATGTGGAATTCCCTTACATCCCATAAAAGGACACATACAGGAGAAAAACCCTATAAATGCATGGAGTGTGGGAAGAGCTTCAGTGTNTGGTTTAAGGCAATATAAAAAGCCAGACATAAACGCTCACGCGCGCGTACATGCACACACACCAAGAGCCACTCAGTGGGAAGACATATTTCCATCTTATTTATCATTTACTTATTAAGACGACTGTTAAATAAACTGAAATAATGTTTTAACAAATTTAAATTTCAAAAAAATGGAATACAGGAAGTATTTTGTGTCTGGACTTTATCCCACTGTTTATCTTTTTCTATTCCTCAAATCTGATTTCACTTTTTTTTCTTAGTTGGCAACTAGACCAGGGGTGTTAAACTGGCGACCTCATGTACAGGCCACGCCCACCCCAGCTCCGTGAAGGGGAAAAATGTCAGGAAACATCACATGACGGCAACATGACGCTGTGAGTTTTGACATCCGTGAACTAGACCATGTTTGCCAGAAGCATCCCCTCCAAACAAGCTGTCCCCCTTTTTACCTGGTACATATGGGGGGTTCTCAAGCTTGTTGTTTGGACAATCTTCCAAGGAACCATCCACAAAATTTGATGGCTCATTCATATCCTAGAAAAAGGAAGAGAAGGAGATTCATGTGTCCCATTTTTCTGAATTAGAACTTCCAAGATAGGAAAGTCATTTGAAAGAACCAAAAGCATCATCAACCAAAAAGAAAGTCTCCCAACTATTCAACATTCAAGCCCCAGGATTGGAAACTCACTATCCACATGCCATCAAAGGGAACTTTGTCATGGAAATCCTTGACCATGTCATACCACCACAGTTGAGTCTCTGGGTTGGTGAAATCTGGGAAGGCAGTGGGCCCTGGCCAAACCTGGAAGATAAAAACCAGAGCTATGCATCTAAATAGTAAACTTTCTGCATAGGCTACAGTGATGTATTTTAGTGTATCTTTGCAGATGGAGCAATAAAAAGCTTAATAGGCTAAGTGTCAGAATAAAAATACATTGCCCTTTCATGATGTTGCATAATAGTGAAACTACAGGGACTGGATGAGGGCTAACAAGCTTGTACTCAANCTCCAGAGGCTTTCTAGGAGCATGGGGAAGGCGAAAACAGCCCCCCCCCCAGGAGGCCCTTTGGAGGTTTCAGGAGCTTCCCTGAAGCCTCCGGAGGGTGAAAAATGGCCCTATGGGCAAACTGGAAGTTTGGAACGGTGACTTCCGGTTTGGCCATAGGGCCGTTTTTCGTCCTCCGGAGCCTTCAGGTTTCCCTGAAGCCTCCGGAGGGCGAAAAACGGCCATATGGACAAACTGGAAGTCCTTTCCCAAACTTCCGGTTTGCCATAGGTTTGCCTCGTGCTCCGGAGGCTTCAAGGAAGCCTTGGGAAGGTGAAAAACAGTCTTAAAAGAAGGCAAAAGTCAGCTGGCCAGCACACACATGTGCACTGGAGCTGACAGGGCAACGCCTTGAATGCACTAATGGCTCTGTGTGCCACAGGTCCCATATGTTTAGCATCACGGCCCTAGTTTATGGCTTATTTTAACATTGGGACCTAGCTAAGTATGGATTATTCCAATACCATAAAGAAGCCTTAACTTGATATAGTGTTAAACCAGATCACAGAATATCTCTTATGGCATTATCCCACAGCCCAGTGCCATAGCAGTGATAGTATTAAAGCCACTGAACTTGCAGTATTATAGCAGCTGGAACATGATCAATTTAGACACTATATACTAATTCAATCATTAATGGTTGGATTTTCATTATAAATGAATCCTAGGGTTTTTTTGTGGTTAGTTAATGGAGGATTGACTAAAATAGAGTTATGATGCCCTGCAATTAAGAAGATATGTGGAAAGAGAGATTATTTTGTTCACTAACAAGAAGTACAAAGGCTATCCTTATGGCTTTCTATGGCAATTTGTATTTCTTTGATTTTTCGATATTACACTGTCACAGAGCTTCTCAGCGAGTGTTCTTGGATCACTAAATTAGCTTTTGGTGCCTCGATTGGATACATGCACGTTACATACTTTTTTTTTTTTACTTTTCTTATTATAAAGCTAGATTTTATAATATGCTCCAAATACAAAGAAGATTGTAATTTATTTTCAGTTTTAAGAAAGAAGAGGGAAAAAACCAAACACATAAACATCATTTATTATATGTTTGTTTGCAGTGATTTCAATCTAAAAGTGACATCATCGTTGATTTACAACGAAAGTAAGAACACTAGCAGTGGCTACAAGCTTGACAGGAAAAATCCTAACAAATTGAAGCTTATTTCAATTTTGAACTTGATGGACTTTCCTTAACAACCTGTCTTTGTACCTTATATTGTAAGAGAGACTACCATATTTTTCGGGGTATAAGATGCATTTTTCCCCCTCAAAAAAGAGACTGAAAATCTGGGTGCGTCTTATACATTGAAT